CTTTAAGGGTATATATGGCCCCTGGTAGGTGGACCACACTCCAGTGGTGGCCTTACACATATGAGTACATGCGCACCACAAATTGAATTATAAAAAGGGAGGATACAAAGTTAGAAAAGGATAAGGCGGGTGATAGAGCTAAGCTAACAAGCAGAATGCTGGGTGAATATGGTCAAAATACATTGTATGCATGTATAAAATTCTCAAAGAATTGATAAAAATACTATATTTTTTAAAAAGCTACAAGAAGTAAAGCATGGACTCCTTGTTTTTCACTGTGATGGAAATATTACTTCACTAGACAATAATATCTTTCAGAAAACAAGGATGTTAACATATAAAATAGTTCATAGTTTTGCTTTATCAAAAATAGTAATTATATATCCAAGTTTTCCTCTATGTCCCAATAACTTTGCATGTTAAAAACATTAATTTTAGGAAACATTCTTTGCAATAAAGTATAGAGCTGATAGTGTAGCTTAGCTGTACAGCCCTTGCCTAGCATGTGTGAGGCCCTAGGCTCAATCCCAAGGAAGCAAGGAAGGAAGGGGGAAGAGTGAGGGAGGGAATGAGGGACACCAGAAAGAGGGAAAGAGAAAAGAAAAAAAAAAGTAATACTTTCAATTATCATCAACAAATTATTGTTGAAAATGTATTAATATTTTCATTTGAGGATACAAAGCAAATTTATTCTTTCATGGAGAACTGTTTAAAAAGGAAAGGATCAATCAGCACTCATTTTCTGTTAAATCAGCTTCTACCACTATGTGGAAAAACACTGTGCCAAGGCAGCACCTGACATTTTTATCCCTTTTAGGCATTCCCAAACTAGAGACAACTGGTCTACCTGCCAAGTCCCTTTGTTTAGCAACTACCTCAGATGCACACAGAACCAAAGTTATTGTTGAATCAGGAGCCTGTGAGGCTTGTGATGGGTTGGCCAATGCATAGCCACCTTGTAGGCTAAACTCAGGCTACTGAAGAGTTGCCAAACAACAAACTCTTAAGGATAGAACATGGCAGTATTTTATAAAAAGTATATGCTGTGTCTTTCGTCTATTTAAATCCAAATTGAGTTCATATTTTTCACTCTAATTAAAAAAAGGATTCACTTTTACTTTATGTACATGAGTATCTTGTCTGCATGTATGTATGTATGTATGTATGTATACTACATGCATGCAATGCTCCTGGAGGCCAAAGAGGTCACTGGATCTCATAAAACTAGAGTTAGAGATGATTGTGAACCAACTGATAAGGGTGATGGAAAATCATCCCAGGTCCTCTAAAAGAGCAAGTGCTCTTAACTACTGAGCCCTCTCTCTCCAGTTCCTTCCCTAGTGTTAAGTATACTCTTATTTAAACCAAGAGTTGGCAAGCTGATTCTATAAAAGGTCAAACAGTAAGGATTTTAGGCTGTGCTGGCCACACAGCTTACACTGAAATGCTTTAGCTGTCTCCAAACTATGAAAGCAGCCACAGGCACTATGTAGATAAATGGATATGGCTGTGTTCCAATAAAACTTTATTTATAAAATAAACAGAGGAGAGATTTGGCCCTTGGGCAGTAGCAGTTTGCTTTACTACTTTAGCAAATGTCCAAAATTAAATTTTCAAATTGAAGAAATGGAGAAAGGGATCCTTGGTACTGTCATTTTTCCAAACAAAATCCAAAATTTCAAGTAGATATGCGGAGAACTAGATTCATTAAAATAACACTTCTAGGTGATCTAATAGTGACTGTCTAAATGAAAACAAATTTCTCTTACCTTAATGTCAGCTTTGATCAATATTAAATGGAAAACTGGGGGTACTTTTACAAGGCAAGAAGAGATGAACTAAATTGGCCATTAGTCATAATAAAAGGTGCATCACAAACACAAAGCAATGTATCTGAGGAGGAAAACATATCCAAGGAAGAGTTTCTTCCAGCTAGCCTGAGCTCCCCCCATTAAACAGCATCTCATTAACCTCAACACAGAGAGAGATGAGGTAAGGTACTCGTAAACTGCAAATGAGCCCTAATGTGCCTGCCCTGTGACATGGAGATTGGAGCAGATTACAGCACACAACAGTACTGCAGTAGCCAAAGAATTTGCACTTTGTGAATATATACAAAAACCATCTCAATTATGACATCAAAGGAAACACAGGAAGGGATACGAACAGATCAAGCCAAGACCTGCCTACCGGATCAGTACATTTTCAAAGGCTATCATACCCATTGCTCTGGGGAGTACTGACAAATGGTATCTCTTACACTGTTAACAATGTGAAGACTGCGCCACTTCAGATTGTTGGACCTAGAAATTCTATTAGTTTCGAGTCCATGTCAGTAAACTAGTTGCACTAACCATGGTTTGATAATATAAATGTCAGATTCCTATAACATTATCTCCGAGAGGAATATCTAACAAGCAGATGGTCACACACCATAACTAACATTTACTCAGGGCACTATTTCCTTTACTATTTAATGCAATCTCACGCGGTGATGACATTTTCTAATGCTGTAGATAGCAGCCCTAACTGTTGCCCCACATTTTTCTTAAGCAAATGTTCAAAACAAAGCATGCCAAAAAACAACAGTGGAGAGTTTAACCATGCTCTATTCTCACGCAGGTATTTCATCAGAGTTCATCATCTGAACCTAGGAGAACAAGTTGGAAATTATAGAAATAGTATTACACCTACTGTAAGTGGGTGTGGGTGTGTGTCCCAAAGCATTGTTGAAAACCAAAGGAAGTCATTCCATATCTAAGGAAAAACTCAAATCCTATCATCTCTAAAGCATTGGTGGGAGGGAAAATAGTGATGTCACTGGAAAAACAGGTATCACATGGCATGTGTATGGAGGTCACCATTTTTTTAATTAGTATTGGTGATGACAGTCAGCTCACTGAGTTACATGCCACAACTGAATGTTATAGAAAGTATCTGAAGCCAGGCAGTGGTGGTGCACGCCTTGCCTTTAATCCTAGCACTTGGGAGGCAGAGGCAGGGAGAACTCTCTGAGGTCAAAGCCAGCCTGGTCTACAGAACAATAGGACAGCCAAGGTTATAAAAAAAAAAACAACAACAACAACAAAAACTGTCTTGAAAAACAAAAAAAAAAGTATCTAAGAAGGTAATTCCTCTAGCAATCTGTTTACCCAAATGGCCATTTCACTTAGAGTTCTATTGAGCCACCTATAACTACCTTCAAAATTACCAGGTTCAGGCTGTTTGTGTTACAGATGGAACAGTTCTCTGGTATTTGAGACTAAAATAAGACATAGGAGTTGAGCCATGCCATTACCATCCTAATTAAAGTTTTTGACACAAATAGTAGATCAGGACCAGGAAGCAACTTCACGTGCTCAAATATTATGAAAAAATAAGTGGAGTCTTGTATGACTCTATTTCAAGACCAATGAAGGTTTAACTATAACCCCCATGCTGTCTTGCCAAATCCACTCCTCCCTATAAATGCCATACAAAATTACACAATGGGTCCACACTAACCCTATTTACATGGTAATTATGAAAAGAAGCCTTTAAACCCCTTTACGAATAAATTTGTTTTTCTCAGCCAAGTGTTAACAGCAATAAATAGAGGATTTGCATGTAATCCCTAACAGCAGTTATGAAGAAATTACCACCCATGCTAGGATTTAGCAACTAAGCATTTCACTTAATCCCGCTGCCATAATAGGGCAACTTAAAAGGTGTATTTTTAGTAAAATACTACATGCAAAATGAAAATATTATCTCTGATATTTTAAAGTAAATTTTCCAGGACAGAATAGTCAAGAAAATGTTTTTTTCCTTCAGTATACTCACTAGAAATGACTAAATAAACAATACTGGTATTTCTCAAAAACTAAATATATCTGAATCCTTCAAAGTGAATTTATAAGTTTTATTTTTTCTAAATTTTTGCAAATGGACACCACACTAAGGAAATGTGATTTTATTCACAAGTTATTCATAGTATGGTTAATGGGCTATGTGGTAAGACTAGGCATTATACCCACTCATTGGTGACCCAGCTACCCAACAACTGGATTCTCTTCCTGGGATTTCATCAGCATCTGCCAGTGAGACTTCATCCTCTGGCAAATAATTGAAGACTTAATCAAAGAGAGAATGGGCATGACTTTAAGCTGTAAGGACCAATTTGTGACACGTGTGACACATGTTATATGGTGACTGACAAAAACACTCTTTTTAGAAAAATGAATTGCTTTATCCAACCTTTACACTCTAAAAATACAACCAACATCTGTTCACACATGAAGTTAGGATGGGAATATACAAGATCCCAACTGTCCACGGAAAAATGGTAGAGAACTGACTGATAACAGTTGTGATGAAGTTTAACCAATGAAATCACTTTGGAAAAAGGACCACACCGAGAACAAAATAAAAATACCTTTTATGAAGGCTTAAGGTTTCAAATATCCCAATATGTTCTCTCCCATCAGTAATATTTTCGTCTGCTAAATACACAGCCAAGTGGCCGATATCACACCTGCCACCAACACTCTCTGATGAGTCAGGAAGAACCTGTTTACACAGCACAAGCTCAACTACCGCTAAAAGGACTCTCTTCGTTTCTTCTAATACAACCCTAGAGCTAAGAACCAACAAGGAAAAAAAAAAAAAAACACTCATTAGCCTGCTGACCAAACATAACAATCTACCACTGTCTCTCTGAGGGAGGAAGGAGTGGCCGCCAGCCAGGCCTCTTTGCTTGAAGACATCCTACCTTTTCCTGCTCTTCCTTCCACTGACATCCCCACTACAGTCAGGTACTGAGGTATCCAGACAGGGCAGCAAGCATCACTAGGAAACACCTTCATGAAGAAGCTACATATTCTAGCAAAGAGTCCCTGTGGCACTCTGGTTAGAGCTCAACACTCTCACACAGGTGCGACCTGCCAGACCTACCACTGCCAGGCTGGGCTGGGGCAGCGACCTGTGGGCAGCATTGGGTGCCTCCTGCAAACATCACTTACTGTGCCTGGCATGTGGCTTCTCTCGTTCCTCCCATTCTGAGAGCTGCCATTCTTGAGCTTCTTCTTCTTCTTGGCTGTCTCTTTGTGTTCTTTCTGCCGGTTCTGCACTTCAATCAGAGCAGAAATAAAGCTGTTTTCTACCTCCTTCTCAAACTCCAGTTCATCTCTCAGGGCCAGCTGCTGCACCAGCTCCTCAGAGTACTCCTTGATGGCTGTCTCGATCTCTTCTAGCAGTTCATTTAGTTCAGACACCGAGAGCCTTTTCACTCCTGTGGCCAGAAACAGAGAACAGAGAGAACACTGAGACACACCTGTGTCAAGGCAGCATAGTAGGGTGGTTTGAACAAAGAACAAAATCAAAGTCTAAGCAGTTACACTGATTGTTTGGGATCTTCTCGGGAGCTAAGAAGTTCTGGAGGGTAGATCTAAGTAGAGATGAGCAGGCGATGTCACTCAGCTGAGATGAAAAAAGCCTAACAATTTCTTACAGGTATCCACCACGAATAGTACTATAGCCAAGACTGAAATGAAGTTGGTATGGGGGGAAGAACAAACGCAGAAGCAGAGGGAGGGCCCGGAAACTACCTGCTGGCATGTGTGGGTGACAAGCAACCGGGCAGGGTTCGAAGAGAGGAGTCCATCTGAAAGGATTAAACCGAATGCTTATTTAATCTTATATGCCCCTCTCATGAATCTGGCTGGAGACTGGGAAGGTGAAAGGATGGACAGTTCACGGAAGTCACCCCAGCTAGCATGGGGGATCCAGGAGGACACTGCTGAAGTCCTAATGCCTGAGACTCACCCTGAGACTGAATGAGCTGGAAGGTAGGATTTAGAAAGGTCATCCAACAACAATGATTTTATTAGATGGACTTTAATCCAATGTCACTGCTGTTCTTACAGGATGAAGAGCATATAACACAGAAGGCAAAGAAGGCCAGGTGAAAACCCAGAAGGGAGAAGACATCTGCAAGCCAAGCAGTTGGATTTTTACACCTGACCTATAGAGCTGTGATATGGTAAATCCCTGTCCCAGCCACCTGGTCTGAGGGACTGTTTATTATGGGAGTGCTAACTAACTAATACATACTTCCTGTACCTCAGTGCTGGATTTTGGAATCAGGACTCCAGGAATGCTAAGGGCTTATCTACAGAACTGTGGCCATATCACATCAGAGGGAAAAAATGCAGTGTGTCAGAGAACCTTCCACAGGTTAAAAAGAAGCCACATAAAACAAAGGGATTGAGGCAGCCCAGCCTCAGACCTCTGGTCAGGCCACAAATACAAATCCAGATCACAACAGGGGTGTTATCCAGCAGAGAACCAGGCATGGCGACAGTCACCGATACACAGAGCATTCTTGTGCTGGGTACAGATACTCAGAATGTTTGTGACAACCAACCCCAGATCCAATTCTAACAAATTCCACTTCCAAAATCCCTCAAAGCTCTAGCATAGACAACTATTTGTCAACATAAGAACTATTTTCAATAAATACATACAATCTTGCTTTTTATGGGCCAAAGGGTCGCTCCCCAAAACGCATGCTGACATCTTAACCCATGGTACTGCAGAGCACACCAGCATTTGGAGTATTTACAGAGATAAAGTTAAAATGGGGGCCAAGGCTGGTCCTCAATCCAGTGTGACCTATGTCTTAGAAGATGAAATGTGGATACAGATAGGGATAGCAAGAAGGCCAGGGAAAGGATAACCACCCACAGGCAAGGAAGGAGAAACAGCCAACCCTTGACCTTGAACCTCAGGCCATCAGAACAATCAGGAAATAAATTCAGACTGTTGAAGCTATCCAGACTGCAGTAAATTCTTCTAAAAGCCCCAGTAAACTAATCCAGGGTCTGAAGAAAATACAACACAGTCCTGAACAATGACCAAAGTATGTACAGAGAATTATACAGCCAGAGGACCCAAGAAGATGAAAGCTCTCTGGAAATGATGATGTCATGTGTTGACATAGACAGAAAGCACAGAGACAGAGGGAAGGAGGCTCTCTTACTCTCTTCATAGCTGCTCATGCTAGACCTCTTCAGAGTCTGAATCTCCTGGGAGAGCATGGAGAGCCGGTCAGACTGTGTGGGGGTCTCATCATCTTCTGGGTCCGGTGATTCCTGCATCATTTCTTCAATTTCTTCAATAACCTTCCAAAACACATGTACCGCTGTTAATCAAATGCATGGAGAAAGGCCTGACTGTACCGTAGCACTCACCAGAATACCCAAGTGAAAGGTACACTAACTCCTTATATGTGCAAGAAAAACAGATAAATATAAACAAAGCTCATCAAAGGGAAATACTTACAGAAAATGAACACAAAATTAAACAGAATATGATCTGGTACATCCATTACAATTCAGCAGACCCTAGTAAATGTCTAAAAAATGGTGCCATGATTTATGCAGACATAATAAAGTTATAGTTAAAAGATGGCAAATAAGGGCAAATGTACCATGTACCACATACACGCACTCAAATGTAATCTAGCTTAACCAAAACTTACACAAAAAAATCTATAAAATGTAATATTCATAAAAAATGTCCATGTATAAAGCAGGGAGTTAGCTCTCTGGCAGCAAAAGAGTTTTATTTATTAATTCAGTGAAAGACAAAGGGGTATTTCTACATTACCAAAAACAGATGGGGAAAAAAGCTGCAAGAAGGGGGCTGAGAGATGGCTCAGCGGTTAAGAGCACTGGCTATTCTTCCAGAGGTCCTGAGTTCAATTCCCAGCAACCACATGGTAGCTCACAATCATCTTGAATGAGATCTGGGCCCCTCTGCGGGCATGCAGGCACAAGACTGTATAAATAAAAAAAAAAAAAAAAACTGCAAGAAGAAGGAAGATTCCAAGAATACATGTGCCTTTAATTAAACCCTGACCACTGTCAAACACAGTATGACTCAAGCATTGCAACTGTACTTTTGTCTGGTTCCGAACTCTAATAGAGAAAAGGAAGTAGACACTTTAAAGGAAAGCAGAAAGATACTAAATATTTTTAAAGGGTGAGAGGTCATTTAAGCATTGAGAAAAAAATTAAAAATACAATTCAATAAAGATAAAAAAAACACCATGAGTATATTTAACAGTATCTATAAATAAGCAAACTTAATATGTAACTCTTCAACTGGTGAAAAGTCAACCCAAGAAGGACTATGCCAAGGAGGAAGGAAGCCCTCCCAAACAGAAATTGTGAACAGTACAATGAGACATTCAAGGAGGCTATAGAATTCATTTCTAGGGAAGACGGGACTGCTCAGGATCATATCTCTTTCTGGATTTTCATGCCCTCCATAAAAAGCATTACCTGTCTCCTTCACACCAGTTTTCCAAGCCTAGAACCACCCAGCCACAAAAGGAAGCAGGGACCATCAGAAGGACATTCTTAGTGTGTACATTTACGCCTCTGACCTTGTCCGTAACGTATCTCCTTACTGACCTTCTCATCCCTGCCTAAAAATAAAACATGACAGAATTCACAGCCCACAGAGCCACGGAACATTTTATTTCAGGAAGTTCTGCTGTCACACTCTAACAACACCGTAGAGGTGGGAGGAATATTCAGAAAATGACAAGGCTGACTTGACCAGTTTCAAACGAGTACAGGGTTGACATAACACAGCACTACACAGGTAAAATGTTTGCTTCTTTCTACGGTGTATAACAGATACTTCTATTATTTGTTAAAGATGCTTCCCCGGGGTTCTACAAAACTATGCCTTGGCAGGGCCAGGCATGGCAACTCAAGCCTTTGATTCTAGCACGCAGGAGGCTAAGGTAAGTAGTTTGTGGCCACCTTGGTCATAATAGTTTCAGGTCAGTCAGTGCTATATGGTAAGACCTTGTCTCAAAATAAACAAAAACACCAGCTCAAATATAGTCCAGTTCACTCATGTTAGGGTGACCTTGTAAAAAAACAGGAACTTCCTGATTTAGGGGGGTGGGGTTCACTAATAACCCTCCATTAGTAACTTGTAATCAATCACAGACAATGCCTAGCATGGAAAGCTCCCCAATTCCTTGGACAGCATATACCTTATTTTACCCTCTTCATTGAAGACTGAGTGTCAAGACTGCATTAGTCACACAATCTAGGACATATGTGGACGTTCTGCCAAGCATCATCTGCATAGTAAGAAATGGCTATCTATCAGCTCCAGGCTCTGCTTCCCCTCCATACCTGGTCTGCGGTGAAGAGGGGCTCCTCGTTGACACAGGAGACGATGATGGAATGCATATCCAACTGCTCCCTCAGCTCCTCCTCATCTGAGGTGTCAAAGAGCAAGCTATCACTCATCTAAAAACAAAAGTACTCCCATTTAAAAGCAAGTCCTTCTGATGCAAATGTCAACATTTCTGGGTCAAAGAAACAACAGGAAACAGCATGCAGGGGAGCTATTCCTTGGAAAGGAATCCTTAGTCACCCTAGACCAGGCCACACAGCGTGTTACACACTCTGCCAGCAGCAGTAAATACAGTACAGGACAAACTTTCAAACAACAAGGTATGGCATGCACCCCTATGGTCTGACACATGGAGGCATTTTTCCAGAGGCAACAGCAACAAGAGCAGTACTAAAAACTGATATTTGAATAAAAGACCAGAAAAAAGTATTTATTAGAAAATTGTAAGGCATTAGAATGAATAGAAAGTAGCAACAAGTGCATAGTTAATGAACTAGAAAGTGTTTCAGTTCTACAAAGCTATCTACAAAGTACTTTCTAATATTTAAATACTTAGAACAAAAGTAATCAACATCCTTGGAGACAGGACCTGTCCATGAGACATCAGTCCTTCCAAATGAACATCCCTCCTTCCAAAAGAAGAAAGAATACTTGTGCATTCCTAAAACACCTTTAAGCCTAACTATGCTGGAGTCTCCAATCACCTCAGCTCGCTGTTATACTGTGCTCTGTACCCAGGAGGCTGGCCGTATGGACCAGATCTAAGGATATGATGCCCTTGATTTCTGGCTTCCACTTGGGTTACACATCACTGGGGGACACCAGGAGACTGCAAGGTGAGAAGGAGAGGGCTGAGCACTCATCCTGTTGTCTTCCTCTTTGCCAGAATGCCATTTGTCAGCTCTGGCTCTGTACCAAAGAACAGGGCTCTTGTCAAGCAGAGTTCTTCTCAGATTCTAGAAACTTCGCTCTCTCTCGTTTCCTTTTTGTCTTGGGGCTGCTAAAGTACCAGTAGCTGTTGCCATGCCTGGAGTACTGCATCGTCCAGTAGCTGTAGCCACATCTGGGGCACTGTATCATCCAGTAGCTGTTACCATGCCTACCCAACCCAATACAAACAGCCCCTATAGCAATACTGAGAGTTCTGTATCAATAGCAGCTGTAAAGCTACCTGAGGAAACTCAACAGAGTCAAGGGATGACTAAATAGATAGCTGGCTATGAATCACTAACTTCTTGTCACATGACTATCCTGCTGGTGAACAGAAGTAAAATTGGAACGCTATTCTCCAAGAATTAACACACAGTAACAACAACAGGACAACAAGGACTACTGAAGAAAAAGAAAATGCCACATTAAATAGTATATCAAGATGGTAGATTAGTCAATTGTTTTATATAATATATATATATATACACATATATATATATATATAAAACACCAAGAAACTGTAAACTGAAATTATTAAGTAAATAAATAAAAACCTATAAAATTCAAATGTCCCAAATCAGAAGCTTTTGAGAAGCAACATGATGTCACCAAGGGAAAATTCCTCATATGAATGCTATTTCAAAACATAGGTACACCAAAAGTATTACATAAAATTGCCATCAAACTATATACATAAGGTATATATGAAACAAAAAATATACTCATGCTTATATCTGGATTCCCAACTCCATATCCCAGTCTGTACCTACAAATATTCTAAGTTTTTAAAAATCCAAAATCGGAAATACTTTAAGTCCCAGGCATTTTGGATATGGAACATTCAACCATTATAAATGTCATATATTTAGTGTAACTAAATGAACATGTTTTAGGCAGACGTGGTAACACAGGCCTGTAATGCCAGCAAGAGGCTGATGAGGCAGGACAATCTTTTGAGTCAGTTCAGAGCCAGTCTAGGCAACTTAGTAATATCCTGTCTCAAGGTGAAAAGTACAAGAATGGTTAGGGATCTAGCTCAAACGTAGAGTGCTGACACAGGCTGCTTAAAGCCCTGGGTTCAAAGCCCAGGACTTGGGGGAAGGGAGGTTTATCTGGAAAAACGATTTTATCTACTAGTACATAGGATATATTTAAACTTCAGGACACAATGGAGCGGATGCAGGTCCCAGAGCTCCCAGGTTCCTTACACAGGAGCTTTCAGATTAATGTCAGCCAGAATAAAGCTGATGAATGAGAAAGCCATAGGAAGGAGCCACTGGCACGCTGGCTTCCCATGGGAGGATGGGGAAGGCCTGCTGTTTACCAGGTCCACTGTCAGCACTGACTGCAATTCCCTGAGGCTCCTCAGGGACAATGCACCTCCTCTTTCTGTTTCTCACAGTATCTTGGGCCAGGAAAGGTCTGGCAGTGCAGAATCTCTCTCTCTCTCTCTCTCTCTCTCTCTCTCTCTCTCACACACACACACACACACACACACACACACACACACACACCTGTGAAATTTCAGAACACCATGTGTAAAAGACAAAAGGAAAGCAGACAGAAGAATCAGGAATTAATATATCACTTGAATTTGCAACAGCAACAACAGATGCCAGAAAACAATCAATGCAATTTTCCTGTTAAAAAAAAAAAATTCCATCCTGGAACCTGGAATCTAATGTCCAGCCAATTTAACAACTGGGAGGAAGCTAAAAATAAAGACATTTTTAGATGTGCAGGACTCAAAGAATCTACCTTTCCTGCACCCATTCTCAGAAAGACACCCACAGGAGATTAGTGAGGAAACTAGGAGACAAACACAAGGACAGAACAACGCAGAAGTAAAGGTCATTCTTGCAATGACAGAGGAAGTCAAAATCACTGAAGGTAATAGAAAGCAAGCGATTCACACTAGAACTGCCACTGCACAGGCATGGAGGAATGAGTAGAAGACACTGATAAACTCAGGGTCTTTCAAACTGTCTAACGAGCCACCACCTTTTCACCCAAGAAATTTTCACATGGCTGTGGGTCTATATAAAATAAGTCTACAAACCCAGGGTCTACTGATAATAGGACATAAGGAAATTTAGAAATGTATTTTACAACACTTCTTTTAGTAAACATATATTTCCCTGTATTTATAATTAAAGTAAACCTGCATGGTAGCATGGTACATAATCATGTTTATTTTTATATAATGAACTAAATCTTAGCCGAAAATTTGATAGCCCAAGACACACAATATCTTCAATGCTTTTCAGACTCAATCAAGCTTTTGATTTACAATCCTCACTGCTAAGAATGCCAAACATAAAATACAAAAGGCCAGGAGCATGTTAAGGGCCGTTTCAGAGACTACTGGAAACCTGTCCCAGTCCTAAGCCAAATTCACTGAACAAGTTCTGATGGAACTCATGTCAGCAACTCAAACAATAGCTACTAAAGTCCCACACTTAATGCATTAATCTGAAGATACACTGCTGTGATACCTGCATGGTGCCGAGGGAGAACAGGAAAATGTCACGTCCTTGGTTTCTGTAATCAAACAATTACATTTCTGTGCATCCAAAGAAACTGCAGTGCATGTTTTACTAGAATAGTCTCAAATCTGAGCCAAGATGTTACAGGTGGCATTAGTAAGTGCTTGGTGGCATGTGCGGGGCAAAGTGCACATGCTATGTGTTCAGAACCAAGGCTACAGTAAAGTCACACAATGCAATGAGTGAACAATGCCAGAAAGACTTTGGATTCATTCCACATTTGATCCTGGATTGTTTTGGGATGTGTTCAGAAACTGTTTACTGTAGCCAGATTTCTTCCAATTCCCACATTCCCTTACACAGCTCCTTTTGGGGTCAGATTCACAGCTTAAGAAGCTTCGGACCTGCTAACACACTATTGAAATGAGGTTTATGGCCTTGTGTGGGCGACTGACGTGTGACTGTAAGTAATTATGCCACACGCAACGCCAAGATGAACTTTACAGAGGATTCTGACAGGGTTACACTGGGAGAGCAGGAGGACAGAAAGTCTGTGTGGGGGTTAGAGTTGGAGAATGGAGGACAGCAAGGGCGCAACTTCATCCTCTGGCAAGGTCAATTCGCAAAGTCCAACCACAAGAAATGAAATTGGCCCAAAAGGTTATCTGCTAGAAGCAGCAGCTGAAGGCTGTAGAGGTGGCACTAGACAGCGAGGATATGGGGCAAGAGCGGCCTTCAGGTCTCAGCCCCACAGTGTTCACTACTAAACAATGACAGTTACTTCTTTAAGAACTAACTGAGGTAAGAAAGGTAAAGAGCCTAGGCTCTTCGTGAGAGGATGCTTGACAGAAACAAGGTTGGGGAGGCTGGTATGGTCAAAATGTGATCACTAGAGCAGATGACACCCATGGCCTAGAATGTCAACAGGACTCTCACACTGCAAACCCACCTGCCCTATCATCCTTCCTTATAGCTTGAACATCAGAATTTTGTTGTGCTTTTCTTTCCTGGCTTATAAATAAAGTTTTAATTTTAAAATCACTGTTAAGGAATACATTATCATATTTGTCCTCGTTCTACTGTGAAAGATATCATGATACACTAGCAGATAGTACCTCTTGTACCAGGCTTGGCGGTGCACACTGATCCAGGCCTGGGGAAATAGAGACAGAAGGACCAGCAGGTCAAGTTCATCCTCAGCTAGGTAGCAAGTTCAGGGCCAATCTGGGCTACTCAAACCCAGTTGAGAGGTGAGAATGGAGAAGAGGAGGAGGAAGAGAACATCTGATTCTGCACAGAAGAAATGGGAAGATTCATGACACACTCCACGCCAAAATGACAGAGAAGCATTCCATCACCCAAATACACTAAGAAAGTGCACCCATTCAGACCAGGTTCCAAACACACCAGGAATGCCATCAAACCTCACTACTAAATTTCCATGACAACAGAAATAATAATCCCAGATCATCTTTCTAGAGAGGGAACCGGGCCAACCCCCACAGAGATGAGGTACTAAAAGTGCTTAGGCCTTTGAAAGCTACCCATGACTGACAAGGGACTCCTTAGTTACCCTCCCACCAAGCAAGCATTCCCCTCACTCCTCCCATGCCCGGCTTAGACACAGAACTGATCCTACTGTTTCCCTACGTTAAACTGCACACACAGCAGATGGAAAAAATATGCCCATGTAAGAATGTGGAATATGCCAAGCTTCGAGAAAGGGCCCAACAAATGCAAAAAATGTGGCCATGACTGTCAATGAAAGAAAGCAAAATCTAACTGTTGTTTTCCTGAATACTGCTAACACAAAAAAGCAAATTATTTTCTTATTATTGAGAATAAAAAATTGCCCATATAGATCCCATTTTATAATAAGGATAATCTAAAGAGTACTTCTAAAAGCTAAATTTTACTCAGTCACGGAAAAAATACAGCACCAAAATGGCAAAGATAAATAATACTAGTTTCCCAGGTTAAAATTTTTCTTAATTATATACCACCTAAAAGAGTAACATGATTGCTTTGATATAATTCTTGCACATTTGTTTTTCAGGGACACCAGGCATACTATAATCTTTCTGTGGAGTGGAGTTCTAATTCAATTCTATTCAACAAAAGAATAGCCATAGCATGATACATGATTGACTGATTGATTACCACTTGTCTATTTTAATATACTGAGTCTTTCCAGGTAAAGCCTTTTACATTCAGTCCTAGTATTAAACGGCAAGTCTTTACTAGACACGAGCATGGCCACAGCATTACTCTGGCATTGAAAACAGCATCCGAAGGACAACAAAAGGAGTGGAGTTACAGAGTAAAAACAACCGAAGATTTATATTTTATTCAATGAAGCTGGATCAGAGTGCTTGATTCATGGTGCTAATGTGCTTCTTTTCCAAACTATGAAATGAACTGTTTTATGCGACTCTTTTAGCATGTCAATAAGAAAATATACCCATGGGTCCCTTCAATCCACACAAAAAGAGAAAAGGAATTAAAACAAGGCAAAATTTCCATCGTGGTTTCTGACTTCACAGTCTCAGTGATAAGGTTATTTGCTCGTTTACTTACTCCACAAACAGGCTACACAGCCCTCACTAAGTGTCAGGCATAGAGACAGTTACTAGAAAGTCACCATCTAATGACAGGCTCAGAAACATGCTTAGTAAAACAGCACAGTGATGATTTGAAAGACACATGGACGCTGCGCTGTGGGGACTAGCGCCCATGAGATAACAGCGCTAAACTCCATGGGACAGGAAACAAACCCTATAAACATGTGCATGTCTCCACAGGGCTCTCCAGATTCCACACAGGAGTGTGTTTTCTTCCGTGCAAGGATTTAGGCCATGGCAAAGTAACCATCTGTCAGTGATGCTGTAGGTGGGGTTTCTCCCCATCTGAGACACTGGATTAAGTGTCCTTTAAAGATCCTTCCAACTCTAAAATTGTATAATTCCATGAGCTCAGCAAAGGCTAAAACAGTAATAGGACGTTTAGGGGGTGAGGTTGGGGGAGGGGGGACTTGGACAAAGCCCCAAATGACAGCTAGGCCCTAAATAAACAAAAGATAGAATGAAAGCTATCTAGCTACTGTCCTGTTTAGTACATGTATGTCAGGTCAGCCTGCAAAGCTTAAAGAGGTTAATGACAGGGAGAAGCAGTGAGGCTACGAGAACTCTGGCAGACAGAGCCAGAATTCCATATTCCACTAGAAATTGAAAGCAACAGGCTTTTCCACGTCAAATATTTAAGAAAAATCATTTCATGAAACATTAACAATGCTATTTAACATACTGACAGCCCCACAGCACAATCACACTTAATGAAATAGAGTGTGCCAGGGGATCTGACATAAGCTTACATTGTTCTCTGCTGAAGAACTGAAAACAGGGTGAATGTGAGATTTAAATAATTTGGCTATGGGGCTCATCATCTTTAAACAAATGTAACTCTGTGAGTGTCTACTTCAAACCATTCCCTTTTCTGGCCCCTAGCCATGGCATCACTGTGCTCACATTGTTACATAAGATATCTTCATGTGGCAGTCAAAAATCAACAATGGGAAGGCATCTGGGTGCTAAAGTGGGGAGACACAAGCATGAGGACCTAAATTCAGATCCACAACCCCCACATGAAAGCCAGGCACGGTGGTGTGTAACCTGTCATCCTAGAGCCAGGAAGAGAGATGGGAGGATACCTGGGGCTCGATGGTTGAATCTGAATTAGTGAGCTCCAGATTCAATAAGAGACCTTATTTCAAAAAATAAGGCAGAAAATAACTGAAATGAATACCCGATGCCACCAGATAAAGGTACAAAATGTACATATGCATGCATGTGCACACGCTCCAACACACCTGAGTGTATGGATACATATATGCACACAAAAACTCAAGAACAGAAATGGCTTTTAATGGTTCCCCAGTACTCACAGGAATGTGTGTCATGCCTAGCATCACTAAATTACATAACTGCTGATATTCCAGTACCCCAAATATATTAAATAAATAAAAGGGTAGGAATCTGACTGATCTCGCCATATCACAGTTTGGTTGTATAAACAGAAGGAGATGGAGATCGTTGGTGAGAGAATTTAACGGCCATGCAAAAATAAACACATGAGGAACAGCAGGACTGCACCAGCAAAGAGACAGCAGTGAAAACAAGATAGCAAGAATGGGCCGGCCAGCCAGTAGCTTGAAAATAAGACGCTGTCCGTCCGTTCCACAAACTTGTCCCACTATCAGCACTGGCTCTGCAGCCGCTCTGGTCCAGCTCCTCACTTACCCCTTTCTCTGAGAGGTTCAGAGTGAGCAAATGCAAAGCCCTCGTATGGGACGACTTCCAGTCTACAGGCATGACATTCCCATAATTATCTGTCAGGGCATTCCAAATCCTTAAACAGAAGAAAACAGCAATCAGTGAAATGGAACACTCCTCATGGCTTTTTTTTTTAAAATCCAGTACTACTGTTAAGGGACCCAGAATAAGAGTCGGTAGGGGGCGAGGGAGGATGGAAGGGAGAGGGAACTGGGACTGACATGTAAAACAATCTTGTTTCTAATTTAAATAATAAAAAAACATGTGCAGATGGTAGAAGGGAAACTTTGAAAAAATTTAAAAAAATAAAAGGTGCATTGTTTCTTAGAAAAACATCGACAAAGCTAGAGTCATGAAAAATCACATAATCAGATGGACTACGCACAGGATACTGTTCAGTTTATAGGACACATACACAGAAGGATGACAGCACATAAACACACACACACAACGAGCGATTAAATGTAAAAAAAAAAGTGTAGATAAACGAGATATAGACTCAACACATACACACGAAAGTATACGAATTCATTTCATCCTCAAAAACATTAGAAGCAGAAACCTTTATTATCTTCATTTTCCAAGTGAAGAGCCAGGAAACACAGAAAACTGCAGTATTATCTTCAGAAACACAAAGTAAACATGCTGTGCTTTCCAAAGACATGCTGTATTTTCTAGAACAAGGATTCAGTCTCAGTGTGAGAGCAGGGATTCATATCTATTTGTAACGTAACAGGATAAGGACTGGGGCTGATGAAAGTTGAAAGAGTGAGAGGTCACATAAATTCAGGCAAGTTATACAGTCAATGCAATTACCACTTTCTTATCAAACAGCATCTGAGGTAGGGAGATGGGGTAAAACAAAGAGGCACTGAACTCAGACTCAGGAAACAGATTCATATATTCATTTTCCCTTGGCCAATCTTTGGCCAAGTTCCTTAAACTGCCTGGGTATCAGCTGCCCAGCCACAAAAAGAAGCTTGGACATGAAGTAGGCACCTTTTCTAGTTCCAATGAACAAAGAGGGTAGACTTCAGGATCAAAAGCCAGGGTTTGGTACAAAAATAATAATCACCATAGTAAAACATGATGCTTTATTGGGGGGAAGGAGCCTAAATTCATAAGCATCAATAAGATGAAATTTAAGTAGGGTAAGTGAGGTTAAACACTACACATCTGAGCTACTTCCTAGGAGACTACACTAACATGTCACCTTTGTTATGTTAAAATTTGTAAAAGGTATCTAATTGTAAATAATAATAAATCATGAAATAGTTAGATAAGCCTTTTTTTTCAAGTTGGTCAGCAATCAGGATAAAATCCTAGCAAGGGCAAAAACATAACAAGGTAAGTTTAAAATTGCCAAAGTGAGCTGGAGAGATAGCTCATCGGTTAAGAGCACTGACTGCTCTTCCAGAGGTTCTGAGTTCAATCCCCAGCAACCACATGGTGGCTCACAACCATCTATAATGGAATCTGATGCCTCTTCTGGCCTGCAATGGAAAATGCAGATAGGGCACCATATGCAAAAAAAAAAAAAAAATTAATTTAAATAAAATAAAAATAAAACACAACTGCAGCAAAGAAATAACACTTCTTTTAGCCAGGTGGTGGTGCTCTCTGTGAGTTCAAGGCCAGGCTGGTCTACAGAGTGAGTTCCAGGACAGCTAGAGTTGTTACACAGAAAAATCCTGTCTCAGAAAGAAAGAAAGTAGAAAAAAAAAAAAAAAAAAAAAAACTTTTTTTAAAAAAAATAATAAACAAGGATTCTATGCTTAAGAATAGAAGTTTCCAGACGTATAACATCCCAAGGGGTGTGTGGCTTCCAAACCACAAGAAAAACATGAACCCAAAAAGCTCTACAAAGTGGGGTCTATCACCCTACAAATATCCCCTATGTAAGGCTCCCTCAGACTGCATCATAGCTGGAACCTGATGTTCTCTAGTGTCAATGAACCAGAACTGGGAACAAGGGCAGCTACTGGCTGATGGTAATGGGAGTTACTTACTATCCTGGGTCACAACTTTCAAACCCTAACAGCTGATTATATCCCTAACCCTGGCCAAGGACACAGACTATTCTAAAAGGTGAGGAGTCCCGGGTTTGGAAGAGTTGTTTTGTCTGTTGGTCACACCCTTCTTACAAAAAGCTGTAAGACAAAGATAGTGGAGTACCTCTCCTACTAGGAGCAGCTGTGGGTTCCAGCTTCCAAGAAAACAGCACAATAAACAAGGCATTCTCTCTCCCAAGGTCAGAACAATTGCAGCTAGAAGGATATAAGGCCAACTTCCCCTAAGGTTTCCCGAACTCGCCAGTCAAGACATCTGAGCTGCCTTGTCTTTATCATAAACACTGTGACCTGTCATAAATAGCTGGTGGAAGCGCTCCCTCCCAGCCAAAGTCCTGTGTACAGTGGCTCCAAGGGACAATGTCCTGAAGCTCTCAGCAGATGAGTAAATCCATAATGACAGAAACTGAAAGCAAAGCTCAAGGAAGTTAAGTAAAAATCCAGTCATGGTGGGAAGCGGACAAAGGGATTTTCTGACTGTTGAAGGAAGCTGGAATGGACCCTATAAAGCAAAAGTATACCAGAGAAAGGAGACAAAAAGGAGTGAGCCCTGGCTCTTAAAAGGTTTGCTATGCATCCCCAATCAGGAGACATGCACTCTCACCAACACAGCTCCTATCAGGAGCAACCAGGCTAAATTTATAGCACAAATGCTAAATGCTTGCCCGGCATGTATGAGCCCTGGAATCCAACCCCAGCAACACAGAAAACTGGGTGTGTTGGTGCATACCTGTAATCTCTGCACTCAAGAGGTGGAGGCAGAAAGATCAGGAGTTCAAGGTCAACCTCATCTCCAAAATGAGTTTGAAGCTAGCCTGAGCTACATGAGACTCTATCTCCAAATTGAGGGAAATGGGTAACAAAAGGCTTAGTTTACTGGTTTATTCCAGGAATTCCAGCATTTGGAGGGCAGCAGGAAGGTCAGGAGGCCAAGGTCAGCCCTAGCTTCATAGCAAGTTCAAGGCCAGCCTGGACTACAAGAAGCAAAACAGGAAAAGCAACAAAATAGTTTAGATTTTACAGCCACCTAAGTTTGAAGGACAGGCTAAAATAAACTTTGCAGAATGTCCAGCTGAAGCAAAAATAGGTACTCTAAGAATCTCAGTACCAAGCCACACTCATCTGCTTTAAGTTACTCATGAGGCTGGGCGTTGGTGGCTCATGCCTTTAATCCCAGCCCTCGGGAGGTAGAGGCAGGCGGATCTCTGTGAGTTCAAGGCCGGCCTGGTCTCCAGAGCCAGTGCCAAGATAGGCTCCAAAGCTACACAGAGAAAACAAAAAAAAAAAAAAAAAAAAAAAAAAAAGTTACTCATGAATATAACCTTAAAACCCAGAATATTCAGTAAGTCTCAATAATTAAAGTGTATAAATCCACAAATAGATGAAGCTATTATCTTCTCTGGGAAATTCCACACAACTCACCTTTAGTTACGAACTGCATGCTCATCTCTTTGTTTTAAACCCATCATAAACTTAGCCCTCCTCTGCCCTTGGGCAACAAGAATGATAAAAAGGAACGGTGTTGGAATGAAGCTCTTCAACCATGTTTACATATGCCCTCTCTGTGTGTATGTTTGCTCTTTCTTGACAAATATCCTAATTTTTGAGGAATTAAAACTTTTTTTCATGAATCCTATCATCATTCAAGAATTCCTCACATGGCTTGGTCCCTAAAGGTGGCTGCCACCGAGAAAAACAAGGGGGGGGGGGGGGGACCCCATCCACAAGTGGCCGTTTGACTTCCAAGTATGTGCCACAGCAGTTGACAGGCTTGCTACACCCACCCTCACTCACACAAGGACTCACAAAATTAATAAAATGTAATAAAAGTGTTTGTATTTAATTTTCCTCCCACTAATCTCTAGTCCCTCCACATCTTCAATGCCTGGAAACGGTCCCAGCCATCACCTTCTCAGAGTCCTTAGTGTCCATATGGCTTCTAAAGGGCCTCGTCTCTCTACAAACAAAACACTCCAGCTTGCTGGCTCTCACCACTCTTTCTTTCAGCTATCTGACAGGGGAAAAACTACGGTACATAATTGCAACTCTCACTTAACCAAACGATAATTGGGGTTCAAGGTGTTTAAATAAAGTGCTCTCATCAACCCCTGTGAATGTCCTCACTGAAACTAATCATATACAAGATTCTGTAGCCATTGCAGGCCGTGCACTAGTCTTCTCGATTACACTATCGGGTCCTTGTCATTAGTAACTGCCGCCCTTCACTTTTTGCCTCTGTGGCAGTTTGCTCTTATGGTCCCAACAGACTTGTGTGACTTCAATGGTACCTCACTCCCCTGCACCTTGGCACCTAACTCCACCAGAATTCAATTTGCGGGTTCTCTATAAAGTCTTCATTCGGACATCCCCTTTGAAATAAATCATCCATATCCGGTACAAACATCCATCAAAGCACTCATCACACTCATAAAACATGTGTTTAACAAATCCATGTCCCATCCCACTCGGTGTCCTCTTTGAAAGGAGCAATGCACACTTTGGCAATGGCAGTGCCAAGCCCTTGGCAGGGGTTTTAACAGAAGTGAGTTGAATGAATGAATGAATGAATGAATGAATGAATGACCCACACATGCCCCAGGAGGCAGGATCTCCCACAAGTAAACACACAGGGAGCTGCAGGGGGTGATCCAGGGAAGGCAGGGGCAGCG